CGTGTGTCATTCCTGACTTGGGGTAAGGAGAAGCGTGTCCTAAGAAAAAAGGTTAGATAATTTTATTAATAGTGATACTAGTGCAATTCCCGTTATCAGAAGAGCTCTCTTCCCTTTGTGAACTGACTGCTTCCTCAATAGGCAACTTTCTCATCATGACACAGGGCTGTCTTTGTGAGATAAATACAAGCTCATCCCTGTTTTGTTGTTTGCGTAAATGGTCATTTCAGTTCATGTTTAACTTTTATTAGTATGAGGAATATCAGAGACAAAGCAGTGTATTCACCAAATAAAGAAACTGAGTCTCTGATCTAGTGTAGTCTTGCCCTGTTTGGCAGAGGTTCAGTGTACCATTTTAAAAGGTTTTAACTTGGATGTTGGTGTGGTGGCCTGATTCAGTAGGTGCAGCAGTAAAAAAGAGTTGAGTTGCTCACTTTCCCCGGTCAGTGTAAAAATTAACTGTATCTCACACAGTTCTTATCATACCAGTTGTATACTCATATCTGTTGCTTACTTTTGATCTTTTCCTAAGAACAATTTGCAAATACGGGGAATAAAATAGGGGGAGAATGCAGGCCTGTCTTCCACAGGATAGGAAGGCTTGCATAAAGGTTATGCAAAACTTAATTTTATTGTGACAGTCTCTCCTTTCAGGTTAGGGTTGCAAACAGGATTGTGGGATTGTGGGAATGTCATTAGCTTGTGTTCTTATGCTGTACAGCGCAACTATCCCTAGAGTGCAAGGGCCTGTCTACAGAAGGGCTCCACTGTAAGGAATCATGAGCTGTAAACATGCTACTCTTCTCCCAGGCATCTGGAAAAGATGTGAATGTTTTTGTCCACTTCACGTAGTTACTCTGTTTTGCTATGCTGTGTTACTTGGTAATTTTTTTTTTCTGGATGTGGAATTCTGCAAGACACATTTTATTACAAAAGGTGTGTATGCCTCAACACTTCAAAATGAGGTTTGTGTGTATGTGTGTGTAGGAAATTCAGTATAGGTGTACAGTTTGGTCTCCTGTAACCTATGTGAGGTACTAAAAGAAGCAAAAAATCCTTCAAAAAATGTATATTTGTAATTGGAATGTGAAGATCTCTTGGTGTGGGAAACTAAGGGGGAAAACTCACTTAGTGTGAACATTTCACCTCTCAGAACAGAACCAAGCTTTAGAACTCAGAGAAAGGAAACCTTAACTGACAGTCAGGCTTAGCCTTGCCTTTTAATTGCAATTGTCCTGTTTCATGTCATCCAGTGTGTCTTCTTAAGGCTCACATGTCTTTATATACTGTGTTAAAGCACAAAGGACTGAGTTGCCTACTAAAAACATGCATGTGTGCATAAGAGAAGAGTTGTAGTAGTGTCTCTTTCTCAGTTCGGCTGAAATCTTTAATTGCAGGAAACAATTATTTAGCTTTATGAATGTACAAGTAGTTGTACAGTAAAAAATGAGACAAGCTAGCAGCACAGCTACAGGAAGATCTGCTGTGGTTGTGTGTTTCTTGCAACATCATACTCCTTTTTCTAGACAATTACTGGAGCGCAATTATTTAACTAAATCTATGATATTACAGCCTTGAGAGGTATAGACTTCCTTCTTTCCCAGTTCTTCCTTCAACTTTGCAGTGAGATTTGCATTCAGTTTTTTTTTTTTAATCTGTTTCTTGTAGCTATTTTATGCCTGAGTAGGTGGGTTTTCTGTGTTACATTCCAAAAGCAGCCATCACAGTTATCGGTTAGTATCTACTTTTAGATACTTTCTACTGTCCCACATGACAAATCGTGTTCACATTACTCAAGGGAATAATACAGTTAAAATTAATGTGACTCTTGTGGACATAGTATTTGGCTCTGTATCCTCCTTTGCCTGTTTTTTTTTTTTTCACATAGAGTGTTGTATAACAGGTATATAATTGCAGGCATTAAATAATAAAAGGTCTTGTGATACCAGTGAGGAACATTTGATAAAGTGTCCTTGTTTTGTACGGCTAGAGCAGAATAGTTATGTTACTGCAAAATACTTCCATAAGCAGTAGAAAGTAGAGGAGCTTGGTTTCCAATGACTTTTTCTTGCAGATCTGAGTTACTTTTTAACTGAATTGTGCCAGGTGTGCAGTGTGAGCTCTGTTCTTAGTAAATGCCAAAAAATGCGCTCGGCTGAGGAATGGATTCTCTGATATCTAGTCATAACTGAGGTCCTGGTACAGAGTGTTTCTCAGCAGCTGTCCCTTCCTCTCAGCTTCCTGTTGTGATTGCACATGGAGGAGCATAATGTTTTCAAGACCTCTACATTTCTGTCAAAGTTGGTCCAGTTTGACTAGTGAATTCCAAAACTGTAGCTGTTGGAGATGCCAGCAAGCCCACAGTCACACAAAGAGAAATTTTGTGAAATCGTATTAAAAATATGTCACTGCAGCTTACCCCACTAACCAGTCTAATTACAATCATTAGGTTTGGTTTACTGTTTCTTATATGTCCCCCTCCGTTTCAGGTAAATCTTTTCTTTTCCAGTGTGTGAGCGGGCTGGTCCCTCTCTGCTGCTTTCTTTAATCTCCAGGATATGCTCCTCCATAAAGCAGATGGTCACCCACACCCTAGTGTTTATGCCAGGAGGAAAGGGAGGAGCCACCTTCAGACCACAGCAGGCACAGCCCCAGGGAGCTAGGAAGGACTGATGTTATGCCTTGTCTTGCTTTCTGTGTCCTACTCTGTGCCAGGTACTTAGGGTCACTGCACCGATTTCATTGCATTGTTGCAGTTTTCCGGTAGTTGATGCCATTGGCCTTAGTCAAAGGCCATTATATAGGAGGTAGTGCAGCGTCACATATAAAAGCTTAAGGCCCGAAGCAGGACACTCATGCCTGACACATGTGTCAAGGCGTTTTGCTGTTCTCACAAGGCAGATAATTACAGACTTACATAACAGGATAGGAAATGGCAGAGGGAGCAGGGCAGTGCCCTAAACAATTCTGGGCAAAATGGTCTGTGGTCCGGAAGGACCAGAGAGATATTTACAGAAGTTCTTCCTGCTTTGACGCCTTGGGGAACCAGTTCAGGTATGCTGATGACTCTCTATGGCATAGTAACTGAGAGCTCTGCACCCTTCCGTGGGCTGTATTCTGTTTTCTTGCAACACCTCGGGAAGGACTAGGGAGGGGAGGAATACCTTTCTCCCTGTTTTGCAGAGGAGAAGGTAAGCAGAAGTTTCAACATGTTCTCCCCTTGTGAAATAGCCCAGGCTGAACGATTCCCTTCACTTTTGGGAAAAGAAGGGAGCAGCTGGGGAGCTTATGGGGTGGGGGCTGATGCAAGGAAGTGAGACCCTGCTCCCACTGAAAGGGGAGATTGGGGAGGAGAAGGAGGAGAGCAGTGGGCTGCGCAGCTATGTGCCTGCAGCCGAGTTCTGTGATATGGGGGTGTCTGTGCAGGGCTCCTGTACTATGCCTGGGAGATCCTGGCAAGAATAGAGGTGCATGCCTCTGGCTGCTTTGGCAAAACAAAATCAGCCCATTGACAACATGCTGCCAACCCTAACACTGTGCCATTGAACTGTCATCCACACAGTGGATATTTATCTGCGACTTCTGGGTGAGTGCAGTAGCCTGCACAGCACTAACGGGGGGGTAGAGAGGCGCTAAAGCCTCCTTAATCCTCTGTCCCAACCCCAGTAAATCTGTGCTTGGGCGTTCCGCCAGGGACTAGCACTTCCGCAGTCCCCTGTTGCTCCTGGCTGCTGTAGGATACTGCTCCCCACTGGCTGCTGCAAAATAAGGGCTCAAGGTCAGTGTCCTATCTCTGCCATCTCTTCCAGGCCCTCTGTGCCAGCCTGCAGTTGGCAGTTTGCTCGTTTTCAGGGCATGCCTCGCAATCATAACTGCTCTCTAGGTGTGGGTCTCGCATAGTCTTTGTGCCTCCTGAGTCCTGGAAGTGGGACTTGTTCTGGCCTTCAGGAGGGAAGGGCAGGACTGCCTCGTTGGCCCTTGTTCTTTTCTCCCCTTGTGTGAGGAGCAGCATTTGGTTTGGCCATACGTTTTGACTAGCCATGGCCCACATTACACAGTCTTGTCTTTTGACTTCTGCTGCTTCCCATAATGGTTGCCAAACCGAACGGATATGGCTGATATTACTGTGTGTGCTTAGAAAAGGAAATGTTGACTCATTGGGTTTGTTATTACTGCCTTTTTTCATTGGTGTCCAAACTCAGCAATTTACCAGAAAATGTGATATTTTGTACGAACCCTCAGTAGTATCAAGACAGGAATCTTGGGTATGTGATACTGTTGATTTAAGGTGAAAAACTGAGTTTGACAACACAAAAAAGTCCTCTGCTCTGTTCTGTGCTGGCCTTCTCTCCCTAAGGCAACACAGGTGTGGAGGGGATTTTGCAGGCACAGGCCCTTGTCCAGACAGCACGTGTCGTAACATGCAACTACTGCCATCAAAATATGTAAATGGGACTAGCAAGTAACAAAACATGGCTATTAAGAGAAACACACTAGTAAGCCTAGTTTCAGCCTTTTCTTTCTATTTAGTACCTTTCTGCCTCTCTGGTTTTGTTAAGGTTTTGCTTGGCTAAGATTTTGCTTTAAACCTTTGAAGATTGATAAATTCCCTATGGATCGTCTATAAGGTTGTTTTGCAAGTTTGTTCCCAGGTTAATATTTGAAAGTTTGGATCCTAGAGCTTAGGTATTTCAGAAAAGTGTTTTGAGGCTCATTTATTAATGAAAAATTCTCCGTGTGTGTGAGGTATAATTCACGTGTCGTTGTTTTGAGGGAGGGAGCTGGGTGCTCTAATGCGCAAAGTATATTTATCCAGCCAGGGATACTGTAACAGAGCTTAAAATAAAGTGGTATCCTCTTACATGTATTGGGAACAGGGGGTCCTGAGGAAGGAATGAGAGATTTTTCTCATACTAAAACCAGTCTCAAGTACTGAATCTCTTTGTAGTTCTTATAAGTAAGAAACATCCTCCAGTGCCAGAGAATCAAACCTGGATCATTTTTTGACACCTTGGCCCATGCCTCGTCTGTGTCTTGAAACTCTCTGAAATGGAAACATCCTTGTATCATTTTTCTCTGCAACTTGTAAGGAAGGATTGGGCAGATGGTTTTGGTACAGGAAAGTCCAGTGTCATCAGAACCTCCCTCACAGTCACAAGATCAGTTGCATTAAATCACAGCCTGAGCTGGGCTATAAGACTAATTGTGTTGTAACTCCCAAGAGAGAAGGAGAATTGCTATTGAGATTGACTCAGTAGTTTTGAAAGGTAGAAACAGAAAGGACTGAAATAGAAAGTGAAGGAAATTTATATTAGAAGGAAATATAAATAAGGTTTCTGGAAAAGAGTTGACATTATAGGAATTCATTACTAAGCAATATTTAAAATGCCAAAGCACCTCTGTTAAATATGTCTGTTCTGAGATGATAAACCCATTCGTTTTATTTTTATTTTTTACAGAATTGCAGGTGTCACAGATAATTCTTATCTTCATCAGCCCAAGGGTCATCAAGGATATGAATTCTGCTCTTTTTATCTAAATGGATGAAAAGATTAACAGCCCAGACTGGGAGCTCCTTTGGTTTTCAAGATGGCAGCAACTAGTGGTGAAAGCCAGCTACAGCGGATTATCAGGGACTTGCAAGGTACACTGTCATGCTGACAGATTCATTTTGTAGGCTGGGCTGCATCCTGCATGTTTTAAAAACAGAGAGTGGGAGCTGTGTTTTTAACTGTTTAATACTTGTGTATAGCAATTGTAGCAATGCAGTTCAAGGTCTGCCATGTGCTCCATAGAGATGTGGCTGATTTTTTTCTGTGTGAGAGAAGATGTGCTGTACCTTTTGCAGGATCTTAAATTCTTAAGTCCTGCAAACTTAAATGTACAGTGTTAGGAATTGGTCTTACAATTTAAAGACATTTTCTGCAGGATTGTTCTCTTGTAGGATTATTCTCTTGCGCAGTATGAGCTAGAACTTTTTTCACATGAGTAGAGCTGTGCTGTTATAAGACTTCACATGAGAGAAGGAGAACATCTGATCCCCTTCTCCCCTGAGCTGGTGTCAAACTGCTTTTAATGTGGGAACAGGCAAAACAGGAGGCCAAACTAAACTGGAGATGGAGAACCAAAGGAAGAGGACTGGAGAATTGGATCTGCTCCTCTTGCTGCAGTGGAATGTGCTTCCTACACACCTGACTTGTTCTCCACTAGCAGTAGCCAGCCTCATTTTCCACAGCTATGTTGCAGGCAAAATTGGCAGCAGACCTATAACCGTTTTCCTGCTGTGTCTCTGTCCTAAACAACTGCCTTTACCAAAAGCCAGGCATTTTTCCTTTTCATTTTTGTTGAATATAAGGTATAGTATGCACCAAAGCTGGGAATCTGGATATTCCTGTAACGTAAAAAGGAGACCTATGTGCCTGCTAACCAGAAGAGATTTTTATCTGTAAAGTGGAGGAAGCAGTACTAGGAGGTAAGGCTCACTCAGGCCCTTGGAAAGAATATGGAACTAGGTGGAACCAGTAACTTCTGGTGCTGAGAAGAGAAGTATGCTCTTCTGGGTCAAGAGGGCCCAGGTAGAGAGCAGAGTGTGCTTTGACATGGGATGTCCTCACCTACTGTTGGGACTAGGTTTTAGGGAAGAGGAATTGCTGTATGCTTCTTGTTATGTGATTTTTTTTTTCCATTTGCATTTTGTAACCAGCACAAGATGAATCTTCCAGAGTAAAGCATGGAGAAGATAAATGTGCTGACTGAATGACTCTTCTTGTGTTACTGATCCCCTTTAGCAGATTATATGTTCTGTCCTTTCTAATCAGAATTCTCTTTGGCTGGTTGCAATAGAAGACCCTTAATGGGCACATGAGACAGTGACAAGTTATTTCTCTATCCTCTAATAAGGATCAAGTTAGCAATTGTCTGTTACCGCTTTTTTTGCGGAGTTTCAGGAGAAGGTTTTGCTACTTTTAAGGAGAAGAGATAATAAATCAGTATGACAACTTGACATAGTTTGAGCTCCAGTTTTTGTTACAGGTGTTCTTAAATTACAAGCTACTAGCAAGCTTTTGCACTGCCATTAAGACATTTGTACTGGAAAAAACCAAATGGCAAAAACTGATTTACTTAGTTGCTTAAGGATTCAGTGCTAAATATCTCTTGCATTAGTTATTCATTCTCATGTCTTATTTTAAAGATGCTGTGACTGAATTAAGCAAAGAATTTAAAGAAGGAGGGGAACCGATCACAGATGACAGTGTCAGCTTGCAAAAATTCTCCTACAAGCTTGAGTACCTTTTACAGGTAAAAAGTGATATGTGTTATTCATAATCCAGTATCAAAGCTGGGCCTTTTTTTTCTGTTGCTATCCCTTCAAAATGTGGGGTTTAATTCAAATGGTAATGATAACTATCCAATTAAGTCTCTCTTACTTCAACAAGTGGGCTGAATGTGTGCTCCTTAATGCATATATTTCAAGTGAAAGCAAATAAATGTAATCAAAAGGCAGTGCTGGCAGGTTGGCTGGAGAATGTAAGGCGTTTCCCATTGATCTGGCTTGATTCTGAAGAAATATACTCCTAAATTATCCTGGAATAAATGTGATAATGAGGTCTTGACAGCATTTCAATGCAAAATGAATACCACTAAGTAGCTCACGGTGCAAATACAGCGGTCTGAGTAATGTACAGACTTCATTGTGGAAATTCATTTTTATTGTATGGAAAACTTAATGCAAAAGGCTGAATTTGAATCTAGAATGCTGCTTTTGGCCTTCTCAAAGTTTAAGTAAAAGAAGACGCTTTGCTGGGCAAACTGGAATTCAGTTTGCGCAGTCTGTGTCTATACATATTGTAGTCATGTCACTGACTACAACACAGACATCCTAATCTAGCCTTAATCTAGGCAAGGTAGCTTTAAGTGAGTTGCACAGGCTTCAGCAGAAGCTGAAGAAATCCTTTGGGATTTGAGTGGTCCAAGCTGCACTCCATACCCTTGCTGCATCACCACTCTGCACATGATCTAGCTAGAGCAAGTTGTTCTGGTATGAACATGTGCGCTAATGGCACATTTCTGATTGCAGGTCCCTCCTCAGGGGCTTGCAGTTCCTTGCTATTGGTAAAGAGCTGCTGAAACTGCTGTAAATCTTAATGTTTCAGAAGTTTTGAACGGATATCTGTATTTTAACTGAAGCAAGAACATTAAAGTCTTTTACTGTTTGTAAAGTAACTTCTGGGTTCACTGAATTGCATTGATGCAGTACAGTCTCTCCCACCTTTGTGAATACGTTGCCTAAAACTAAGAGGAGTCATGGAAGTTGTGGAAGAGGAACAGAATTCCGCACTAGCTATGTTTAAGTATATTTATATTTAAGTTTCACTGATGGGTTTCTGTTTTCCTTGTTTAAGTTTGATCAGAAAGAAAAAAACACATTGCTGGGAAATAGAAAAGACTACTGGGATTATTTCTGTGACTGTCTGGCAAAGGTCAAAGGAGCTAATGATGGAATCCGCTTTGTTAAGTCTATTACAGAAGTAAGTATATCAGTTAAACATCACAACGCATCCTTTGTGTTTTCGTTTGTCCTTTGAGAGAGCGGTAGCACCAAATTACGTAAGGTTAGATAGCCTGAAGTGTTATATGGAGAACACTTACACAAATGAATGATCTTGTTTGGTCTCTGGGTTTGCTCTGCTTTTCCGTTAAATCCCTGACATTTGCTCTAAAAAGGAATGAAAAATTAAGTCAAGGACAGAGCCGGCCATCATTAGCACTGCTTCCTTTAAAGCAGGACTTGCTCTAAGAGAAAAGAATCGCCATGTTTGACCTTTCTTAACACTTTCTCAGTTGTCAGTAGAGTTGAGGAGGAGTCACTGAGAGCAGAACTTCATCTCCTGTCTCTGTGTTGTTCCTTGATGTCAAAAAATATGATGTAGTGGTTCAGAACGGTTGCCATTGTTCCCTCAAGTAGGCTGATATGAACAGGGCAAAAAGCTTTATTATTTTTTTATTAGATTTTAGTAATAAAATCTTAATCTCATAACAGCCATGTTACATCTGTAACTAGATTAGTGGATGATATAAGTGCTGCAAGAAGTTTACTATGCTGATCCTGGCTGAGTCTTTATACTACCCAGAATCATTTGAAGAGGAACTTCCCTATGGGGAAAAAGAGGTCGTGGTTTGGCAGGGCCAGGCAGTGTTGTCCTGATGCCCAGTTTTGTTATCCCTGAGCAATGCTAAGTTGTATTAGCAAGTTACTATTTACATCAGATTTACCTATTCTCTGAGCAATTCCTCCCCCACAGCTCCAGCTAATGTTATCTTGAGCCATCTGAAAGAGAACCATGAGACTCTAGCGCAGGTGGGCTCTATGTTCCCTAACTCACTTTCTCCTCTCAGCAGTTTAGGCAACAGTGAATTTTGCTGCTCCAAGGTGGACAAGCCATGGCAGACACTGGGAAGGGAAATAGGGGAGAGCCCTGGCAATCCGGCTTTCCTTTCCTGCAACCCCTAGGAAGACCAGAAAAGTAAGGACAGTGCCTGCCACTGCAGAAAAGTTCCTCTAGCAGTAGTTACTGGCCCATAAACTCTCAGCCGCAGTAGCCAACCTGACTTCTCTGCAAAAACAACCATGCTGTAGGCATCAACAGTCTATTCTGTATGGTAACACCATGCGCGTTACCATGTGTTAAGGCAGCTCTGCTTTTCGTCCTTCTTCAGTATCTGTCACCATTTAATGGTTTGCATGCTACCAGAAATTATGGTTTGGAAGAAGAAGAAGAAGATTTCCTGTTTCACTTTCTTTGCAGCCATAGAATTTGGCTTGTGGAAGATTTCTTTTAACTTGGTTTGTTAGCTTGTAGTTTAGGAATATGAATTCAAAAAAAACCCATCAGTCAACCATTTCAGGTAACTGAGCTGTCAGTTGCAAACCTAGAAATGAAATGGAAATTGCAAAGAAACATATATTGGGTTGTTCCCCTTCAGTACACGTGGAAATCAGCAGCCAGTATTTGAACCTAGCTGGATAGAATTTTAACATTTCCAAATATCATTTGTTTATTCACATAGTGGTAGATGTTGACTTTCCAAGCTGGAAGTGAACAAGGAGGAAAGAGCAGTGCCAGTCAATCTTTAAGAAAGGTCACTGAGACTTTTGCTTACCTGCCGCGCTTTAATATTAGGGTGCATGATATGCTAGAGAGGTGAAGCAAGATAGCAAATAGGAGTACTCTAGAAACTGCCCTGCTGTCAATTAAACAGAGAGCCTTGTCCTTGATGGCATGAGGTGAGTTGTGGTCGTTTCTCTGCACTACAGAAGTGATTACACTGAAAACACATCATTGCAAGTCTTTGCAGCTGCATATTCTGTTTTTAAAAGCTATGCCCAGCCATACTTCACACACACTACCACCTTAGCTACAAAGCCTGCAGTCAACATGGAGCCTGCCTTGTTGAACTCTGGTAGGCTCTGGAAGGAGGTGGCATGGTTTTGTTCCCAGCTGAATGCTCTTTGGCTACTTGTAGCTGCACACATGTAAATATTTTCCCCTTCTTCTGTTGTCATGTATATTTGTTCTAGTATCTCTGTGCATAAAAGAAACATGGCTGTTTCGATTGATAAACCAATGGGAATAAGGATAGAATTAGCTCAGTAGCTTTCAGGGGGTTTCTGGTTATTCTTAAGGGATTCATTAAAAACCCCCAGTGAGGAAAAACACTTGTCAGTATGCTTCTGTGCACAGGACTGGGATTGCATCTCCCTGGAAAATATCCAGGGATCTGCTTGCTGAAAGAGGATGAAAATTGGTAAACAAAAGAAATGGGCTGGTTCTGGGCTACTTACCCCTTGGGGGTCATGTTGTTTCATACTTTCTGTCATGTAGAATTCAAAAGAGGAAGCAGTAAAAAGTTTTGCTTCCTTTGCTTCACGTGTCTTCATTCCATTTGTGAGGAACATTTTTGTATATAATGGATTGCTGAGATTTAACAAGGGACCTGTTCCTTGAGGGCAGAAGCCCAGGGACAGCAAAATCAAGGAATTTTAGATATAAAGCATTGCCCTTACTTCATGACTGTGGAGTATTGATCGAATGGAGAGACAGCTTTTGTGGCCTTTGCACCTTCTTCCACACTGACTTTTCAAGGAAAATTTAAAGTAGCCAGCTAATTTGAACCTCAACCCTCTGATGTTTTCCTGGCCTCCATTTTCTCATGATGAACAGATTCCATTTGTTAAGTAGATAGGCAGTTTGTTAGGATATAAAAAAGCATAGCTGACTGGTGAGAAAATCTTTTCATCTCTTTAATTTTCCATTCCTGCATTACTGATTTTGATGCCGAGTGGTAAGAAAACATTACTGGTTGCCTTATTTTGAAGGGCAGCAAATAGCTCAGATGTAAAAGGCAAAACAAAAGAAAACATCAATTCCCCAACTCAGTAGCTGTAACAAAATTCAGTGCTGAGTTTTTTGATTCCTCTTATGTTGATTTATTAGTTATCTTCATAAAAAGACCTACTGATTTCAGTCATGCAGCTGATCTCGATATGAAGAAAGAATTAAGTTTTATCAACTTAAGGACTGAGTATAAAGAAAAGCTTTTTGCATGGCCTAGAGTTATTGTGTCCTTGGGGATATATAAATGTATATATGTACACCTTTGTGCTATGGATAGATCTGCCTTCAAGCAATCCCAGCTGTGGCCAGATGCAGCTTAAAGTGCCTAAGCAGTCATCCCTGGCTTTGCCAGGCATACTGGGATCTTGCCTTATATTGGAATCGCCCTTAACATAGTCTGTACCCACATACTAAAAATATTTGAAGATGCGTTGGTGTTTTGATGCCTTCTGTATTATTATAAAGTGGGCAACAACCAGCTACAGATGTGAATTCATCATTGATAAACGATTCCCCCCAGTAACATACTGGGAGAGGGTGTGTCTCAGTGGTACTTCTTATTACTTCCTTTACACCTAGTGGCTTACTGTGTTTTTTGCATATGTATGTAGTCTACCCTGGTCATATCTCTGTATGTGTTTATAAATGGTGCTTAGAATTTATTTTCTCGTGGTTTCTCCCTTCCAGCTACGAACATCTCTTGGGAAAGGAAGAGC